TGTTTTGCCTACCCAGTCAGTGGACAACCTGTAACTTGAACGTGCTTTTGGGATTGGTTTCCCCGCTAAAGCCCAACAGGTGGAAAAAGGTTAACCGTATGTTGTGTCTATGTCTCGAACCGTTGCTGCTGCCAGTGCAGCTAAGTCGTCGATGCTGAACGCAGGGAAGCTTGCATCATACTCTTGACCCTTGCTGCCTTAAAGAACCTCACGTGTGTGTTAAGTGGATGTTGCAGCCAAAACTGTTGTACTTGGATCATTGGGCGACCTCATTTGGCTACCGCAGAAAGAGCTTTTGTAAACCCATTGCGCGGACCAGATGTGGTGCCCGATCTTGTTCTCTCGAGGTAGGTTTGGCCGGCCTGCCTGCAGAGCTCACCAAAATGATCCACAGATGTTCTTTGTCACATCAAATGGAAAGAGGTTGAACTTGAAATACATAGAACGGGTTGACATGGAAATTGGTTTGAAATACATAGTCATAGTGTTGTTTTTGTTTGAATGGGTTGAAATAGTAGAGACCCAGAGTCGGGCCTTGTTGCCTCTCCCTTGCATTTTGATCGGTTGATCTAGCATCCTTTGCGAGTAGTGTTTATGTGTGAACATCCAGAGCCTCTAGGCTCTAGGTGTTTACTGTATCAGTTAATGATATAGTGATATATTCACGTATTGCCAGATGGTAGTTCACGAACTTCCTGGAATTGATTTAATACAGTTATGAACTGCTTCCGAGATCGGAATCATATAATTACATTCCCTTGCTGTAATAAGTTTTATCACTGAAGTTCCTGATTTCCTTTTGCGTCCTTTGGGGGTTCCTGCCGCGTCCTATCTGTCGGATTGTGTGCCCCTCTTGGTCCTGGTATTCTGAGCTGATCCATTTTATCAAAAATTAAAGCTACACGGCAATCTTGCCAAATGCAATTTTCTAAGGGGTTACTGTCGTCCGCGGGCACCTTACAATTGATTTCTATTCTATCTTGTGAAGGGTTTCGGAATAATAAGTATCGAGGGTTTGTCCGGCTTCAGTCCTCATTTGATATATATATATACTGTTTGGAGGAATCAAGAGGAAAGCGGAGAGGATGGTTTCTTACTTGATGTTTTTTCTTACGTTTCCCAATATCAATTCAACAAAATTGATCCCTTAACGTCTTTTCATGTGCTTTCTGAAGCCATTTGCTGGACTGGGTACTGTGGGAGCGCAAAAAACACGTGGGGAGTGAGAGGACAAAGCAATATCCCGCATTACCTCTAAACTAACATCCCACACTTATATTATTTGGAAACCATGGAAGGCGTCGCTGTTTGTTGTTTAGAATTGCTTTTTGTTCGACATGTTTGGCTGTACTAAGATGGGCTACTTTGCATTGGTGCCAGCCCTGTCTTTGGGGTTAAGCATGTTTACTACAGCGCTGAACCTGGCGGAGATGCGGACCTTCTTCCGCCTTTGGCAAGAGCTGGGAACTATTGTTGAGAAGGCTAAGCAGCATCCGGATATCCCTAAGGAGGCAGTTCCCAAGCTGGAAGCAGGTTTGAGCCTTTGGTGCCATCGAGGGATATATGTTGGAGTGATCTTCCTGGTTGCAGCCGCCACGTTATTTACAGCTGGTCTTACAATCTTTGGCGCACACCAGTGCCCTCATGGACTGATCACCCTTTTTGGCTGTTTGCACCGGGTGTCATGAAATTCCTAGCGAGTGTTTTGTGCCCGGAAAGACGTGGCTATGCAAAGTAGCTCACCACAAGTAGCTCACCGAGGCATGAGGCCTGCCGGTGCAACGATTGTGAGCAAGCTAAATGCGTCCACAGCAAAAACGGCGTTGAGACGTGGTTAAAGATTGATGTCGTTAAAGGTGTTCAGCGTCTTTTTTGTTCAGAAAGGGGGTTGATGTGGTTGACACGCGTAGAAACATGTTTCGAAAAAAACTGGAAAATCAGCGGTTTGTTGAAGACCGCGTCGGGCAGATCATGGTTCCAATTCGCACGAGTCACCTAGAAGCTCATGACAAAAGCTACTTCGACTTTTGACTTGGTACAATCTCAACAAAGTTCTGAGGTTGGCAGGGAATCTCCAGCTGCACAGAAGCAGTTCTCAGCAAGACTCTAATTGACAGCTTATCCAAGGCATGGCATGTTGCGTTTACAAGTCTGACATGTTGCAGCAGTCTTTCCTGGTTTTGTTTGTTTCAAGCTGCTTCGATTCCTGATGCCTTCTTGATTCCCATCTCTCGCTTGACGCTTTAACTCTTTCTACTAAAGACCTGGTAGGCTGAATTGCCAGAAGTAATTCTGCTTGGCTGCTGGTTATCAAGCATGTTGTGTTGTTTCACCAATTTTCTGGCAAACAAAAGGCCGCTCCAGCCGGAAGCCTGTAAACCATTTGTTTGAGGCCTTTTGCTGTGCATGTTTTGTTTCTTTTGCAAAGATGCCAGCGACAGAAGAAGTTAACATCTGCAACGAAAGGCACCTACAAGACTGAAAAACAACAATATCATTGGAACATTTTGGTAGTGCTCATGCGGGTTCGTTCCATACACTTTCAGTTGTCCTGCTTTTGGATACAATAGTTCCAAGCGGTGCCACGTAACCGTCCCAGGGATCTTACTGCAAGTGTGGTAGAATAGCTTAGCTGTGGCCAAGGCACCCCTACTACGTTAAAGGCTCTGGCTTTCAGTTGAGAAATTTGTAGTTAGATTCCGTTTGCCTTCAATTCTTTCAAGATCAGACCCAGGATTTCCATGTATTTCCTGTCAATCAGTTCCATTCAAGGCTCTCATAGAAGTCGGATTTTTTTGTGTATGGTGCACTTTTGTGCACTGTTTCATGAGAGATGTCACAGGTACATAGTCTGGCACTGTTTCTCTCTAGAGCGTTTGTCTCTTCCAAGTCAATCCGCCCGTGCGTCCCGTCCCATTCACTCGGTTCCCTTTCTCTAGCTTGCTTTGCAGCTCCAGCCAACCCCCCCCACATCCCTGCCCTTGGCACCCCATGTGCTGTGGTTTGGGGTAGAATACGTGTGAAAACGACGAAGCCTGTTGCCTTCTTGAACAGCTCGTCATGAAAATATTCAATTTGATACCTTTCTGAAAAAGTTGGACTAGTGACAAGATTTGCCATATACCTTTGAAAGTAGTCCCACCAGCCTCATCGGAAAGCTCCATTTTGTAATTTTGTACCATCAAATTCTGTGCTATAACAGACAGCACTCCAAAATGCGAATGCGGGAAACTTCTCGAAAGAGATATTTGCGGGGCCCCTTCAGAATGCCTCGTAAATGCAACTGTAAAACCTGTCCTGTGTATGCCTGTATGCTGGGATTCTTTTTGAACTTCTGGTACACATGGCTTTTTGTGTTGTGATGCTTGGGTGATCAGCAGCTCGAGGGAATACAGCTCACCAATTCACCAAGCAGGATGTTTGATTTCGGCTTTCTGACAATAACTTAAAAAAAGCAGCTCATATTGGTCGAAGTACGAGGATGGTGTGACACCTTGCAGTTTCTGTGCGTTCATGTCGCATGAGTTTGAAAGCAATTGAATTTCAGAACACGTGAGTTCTTCTTCCACATAAGCCAACGGGCTCGAAAGCAGCATTTTTCCCTGAAGGGGAGGGAGCGCTTTGGCAGCAAGCAGTCACTGGATTCACGAAGCTCGATGTGCTGACAGATCGACCCAAACCAGTTCCCAAAGTTAAAGTTCCGAGGGATGTTCGGTGTTGAGGATCGGGTAAGTCACATCATTTCCAGGTACTCACAGGATCTTCATAGTTTCACACAGTGGTGGTGGATTCAACATGCCTTTGTTTTGTCGTCCATTCGCCGAAGTGGATACAGAAGTGTGTTTTTCTTTCTAATCGAGTAGGAATGCCAGATACCCTTCAATCCGACGTAAGCATGGGTTGAAGCTGTCAAGCTGCTGCTGCTCTCGACCAACTCGGCTGCTGCTTGTGGAGTGTTTGGGCTTTGGGGGAATATGCATATGCACCATATGCCGGTGGAAGTTCATGCGTACGTACAACTTTCAATCAAGGAATTGCCACGTTGCTCGGAAAGTGACAGGACTTACGGGGAGAAATCGGATCAAAGAATAAGTGTTGGGCAGCATGCATGAGAATGAGCAAGGCGCACTTACGAAGAATTCCTCCATCCAAGCCAAATCTTGGAATTTACCTCAGACTGAGTTTGCATAGGCTGCATTAGACGGACAGGTTGAGTTTCTTGAAGCACCTGAAGCAAATCGTGTCAGTTTGGGATTAACCTTCCGGGCCAATCCTGGTGCTTTGGAATGTACTGGGATAATCGAAGGGTTGGTTGCTATCCTAAGTCTAATACAAGCCCATCGCCCGTTGCAATTGCAGGCTGCACAGCTCTTTGGCAGACAGCACCTCGGCACTGGGACATATGAACTGATTGCATATTGGGACACGTGCATTGTGGCTTGCTGTTACGCATTTCCATGTTTGTTTGCTCTCAGGAGCTGCCTTCACTGTCTTCTCACCTCTTTGAAGGCGGCGCACATGAAGGTGCCCGGGCGACTTCATGGTTTTTGTCGGGTGGAGAAGGTCTCAGATCACTAGGGCCTGTTTCTTCAAGAAGTTTGTGCAAGACGAGATGCCTTCTTGCCAAAATCAAGAAGCATTGTTGGGAAATGACAGATGAAGAACTGCTGTGCTCAACCTGCTAGACCTATTTGTTGCACAATTGAACTCGGTGCGCATGTCTTTGCCGGTTTGGATGCACTGTACTGCTATCACATCAAGATTTGCGGAAGTAACCTTGGCATGAGGTGTTGTTTGCCATTGTCTCCTGGTGGAAGAATCTTGTCGGGTTAAAGCTCGTCCTTTGGTGGATAGCCTGTCATGTGCCGTTGCAGGCCTCTCAGCACTTTGGCAGACATGGCAGCTTGGCAACTGGATAGTTCTTCCGTTCCCTCCAAGTCTTATGAGGATCACATGTTTGCATTGAGACGTGCCTAGGTTTTGACCATGACAAGATTGCCGCAGTGCTGAGCAGTGGCAAGAAGGTGCCAACAATGTTTGCTGCGACAATTCCAAAAGTCAGCCAAATGAGTTGCAGGCAAAACAACATTCAGCCCATGGCAAGTGTCACAAAGCGCTCTCCCTTCGCATGCAGGAAGAAGTGCTGCCAGTGTTGAGAGCTCTGATCTCGGCTGGCAAAGCTACCATTGGATCACTCCAGGCCGTGGGTCAAGCGTTGCATTTGATGGTCCATCAAGCATTCAGGGCACAGATAGCACTTCAAGCTTCAGCTTTAGGCTTTGGGCCTTGTGTGTATGTCAACCGCTTAAGACAAAGGTGCAAGCATGCATGTGAAGTTGGGTTGAAGCTGGCAAACACAGATCAAACAAACAGCCACAAACAGCCTTAGTATGCCTTAGCTATTTGGCATGAGTCATCAGCCTTCAAAGTGGCTCCTTCATCTAGTCAGCCTTGGTGAGCATTTGTGGTCTCTTAGATCTTGAATGTAACCCAGACTCACGGGGCACCGGGGCACTCGGAAGCTGAATCCGCTGGAGGTTGTGGATCGCATTGGCCGCTTGCTGAGGCGAGAAGAAAGGGTGATGTATATAGATCTCATCGAGTTATTTCTTTATAGGAAGCTCACACTCAGCGGACTCACTAATACAGTACAGTTTGGCAAAGCCAAAGTAGTATTCAATGTGTGTTTTATGCTGTTTGCATTGTGCACCTGCTGAGAAGCTCCCCTGCATCATGTTCCAAGATAAACCGTTTACTCTACACCGAGAAAACCTGGCATCTGAGATGTACACTCCCTGAAATCATCACGGCTACGTCCATGGGCTGGCTTACAAATGGATGACCCTTTTACCAAACAGGTGGTGAGCTCCACTTCCATGATGATTTGTTTGAAGGAGTGTATTAGGTCACATACATACATATATATATATATACATAGTAAATAGTTTGTATATATTATTATATATATATATACATTGTACGTGTATATACATCCAAGTTGTGACTTCTGGAACCTCCAAAATCATCGTCCAAAAACCATTCTTCACAGATTGTCCACCCCCGGAGCTCCAGGGACCGGGACCCGGATGTGGCCTCCACGGCAGCTGAGCTTCTAATAGCAGCGGATGCAGCGGGGCGATACGAGGAGGATGGGGATGGAGTTGGACAAGGGGGGATGATAGGGAGGTTCAACCTGCTATGCTTTGCGAGAAGGTCTAATATGTTTGCCGTGTGGAGCATTCCAGGCATCAGCAGAGCTGCACAAGACAGCTTCACCCCCACGCACCTTTTCTAGAACCATTTCTAGTGCTCGTCAGTTGGAGAACCAGATTACGTGATTCCTTGTTTGTTTAGCATAGTGCCTTGACGCTCGGGGCCAGGGGTTGCGCAGGCCTTGATCCTGATGCTGCAGCGGCGGGAGGATGCTTGTGTCATGGCGGCCTTGTCAGCCTTCTCCAAGCTGGGTCGGGCGGCCCAGTATTTCCGCGAGGCGCATCGCGTGCCACTGAACCCAGCACTAGCTGCGGGATGCTGCGGGAAGGCACAGCCGATATTGGCCACAAGTGCCCAGTTCAAGAGGTCCAACGTGCTTGGTTTTCAATGGTGTCAAAGGCATGTTCTTTTTCCCCTTGTGAAATTCTGACAGCTGTCAGGTAAGAGTATCAGTGGAAGTGGCATGCTTGCAACGTCTGAGGCTCCAAGATCAGCCCATCCCGCAAGGATTTGGTGGTCGGGAGACTCAGGCATCGACCTAGAGATCAAAAGGTCCAAAGAAAACGAAGGGGCTTCAATTTAGCATGACTCTTGCTCGGTGTGTAGGTTTGCAAGGTTCATTGATTTGCTCTTCCGATTGAGTGCAGAAGTCGCATGTGGCCAGGCCTGAGAGATTCTTGATGAGTAGATGAGGGAACAGAAGTCCATCGATCGATTCCTTGGGTCTACAATTGCAACTGTGGTTCATAGCAAAGTCTTACCTGATAGCCTATGATAGCCGGATAGGTTCCAACAAAAGACCACTCGTTGACGTTGGATCTCTTGGTTCTTTTGTTGGTGATTGAGCTTTGACATGGCTCAGTTTTGCGGCCAAATAGGTTCCGGCAAGAGTGAGAAGCTGAAGGAAGCCTTGAGATGTTTCGAAGCTTTTCCGTTGCAAGGTCCACCACATTGCGACTTGCTTGTCTGGCAGCCGCCAGGTGCATTGCCGCGCCTTGCGTGCCTTGGCGCTTGAACGGATGTGCTGGCGTAGGGCGATGGAGCTGCTTTCAAAAACTGGAATGAATCCCATCCATATCACAATCTGCAGCCTTCGACGCCACATTCATCCATAACCTGCAACCTGAATCAACGGAGTGCTGAAACCAACCACCTGAGAAGCTTGCGGTGCTCTCACCCGCCATTGCCTGACACACTCAGCGCCCATAAACCCGAGGCACCTTGGGAGAGCTTCGGGCCACCCGGCAAGCCTTGGACATCCAGAATCGTTTGGAGAACCAGAAGGCCACTGGGGTTGACAAAGGCGGAGTGCAGTTGATGGAACATGATGCAACGTGTATTCAGAGTCAGAGTTCATTTACTGTAGTCATTTTATATCATTTCAATCCTTTGACAGAAAGATATATGTTTGATCTGCAAAAAAAGCAGGTCAGTTTTGCAGTGTTTCGACTAAAGACCCCTTTTCCGCAAGACGTGCAGCTGCTAGGATAGTTCATTTGGTGGGGTCATTCTCTTGGAATGAACACAAGTGGGTAACACTGTCGCATTCCAGCCAGTGTTTGTAGAGTGATGCCTGTTTTCAAGCTATTTTGTCCTAGAGGGAGAAGATGACCCCCAGCAGCTTGGAGCACTTTCATGTGCGGCAGCTTTCAACCTGGGCGCTGTGGTGTTTGTGTGGTGACTGCCGATGTTGAAAGCGACGTTTAGAGTTCACTTTCTTCAGAGGGCTTTTCAGATAGCCCTTCGGCACTCCTGCAGTTTTGATGTCATCCCTATTCGCCCTATTCCTAGAACATCCTAGAACGATTCACTGTTCATCACTATTTATTACTTTGCAGTGAGTTAAGCTTTTTCTCATGGGCTGAAACGCTGTTTGCGTTTCCCTTTTTTTTCTGTTGGTGGTTTTCTTGCTCACAGTCGTAGTCATATATGTTTATTGTGGTTTGTGCATTGCACTGGTTTCGCTGTTTCGCTTTTAGTTGGTCGGTTTTGCTCACCGACTGACTCACTGACAGCTTTGCATTTTTCTTTCAGTGGGACTTCCGGCTTTGCATGCATGTTTTGATATGCCTTTGTAGTTTTTTGTACAAGTTCGCATTACATTGTTACATTAATTGGCATTATCGTCATGTTTGTGGTCTCCATCTCCCTCTCTCATCGTGTCGGTTTAGTCGTTGTGTGTTTGGGTGCAGCTGATGTTTCGTGCATCGCGTCCTTTGTTCGTCAGCAGGAAATAGGTAAGCGCAACCGACCGTGTGGATGCAGCCTGATTGACTCCCAGACCCTGGGGTGGACCATCATAATGAGACACTTTTTCTGCGACAAAGACAACGTAGTGGAGCATGGGCCTGTTATCAAGTAAACCTGCGACTGGATTGATTGACCCCCATGGAAGTTTGTGCTCACAGTGGTCCAATTATGGGCATTCGAAGTGTATTTACCTGGCGCATCACGGAAGACTCTTAATCTACATCATATATATATATATGTATGTCTCCAGTCTGTGCCAGGGATGTACACTGAATTTGGTCCATGATCAAGATGTTGGACCCTGTCCTGGCAGCCAGTTTTCATACAGATCATTGTACCTGCCGAGACCAGATGTTCACCACTTCCCTGCATACTTTGGGTATAGATATTGGTGTTTTGAGGTCATTAGGTTAAGCGAGACAAAGGGCTAACGGCTAGTGCATCGAAATCTGTTTGCACTTGGAACAATTCAGACTGCGCCCAGCATTTTGCGGCTTCCGGATGCAGACTGCCCCATGTAGCTTCCTAGCCGTTTGCCCTCACATTTGCTTTGTTCACACGTTGTCCATTTGCTTTTCGACTGGACCACGTTTATGAAGAGACTTGCTCAATGTTTACGAGGTTGAATTCCTCATGTTCTCCATTGCCCTCAGCGTTTGACTTACAAACATCAGACCAATCATTTCTGCGTAACCTACAAGTCGGTTTATATCTTCCTGCAGCGAAGAAACCTTCAAAAACAAGGTCGTGTTCTGCCTGCGGAGGGATGATTTAGTGTCCAAATGATCCCAATTCAATGCTCGAAATGGATCCTGTCCCCTGCCCCAACATCGCTTGGAGGCACTGTTTCGCACAAAGCCTGCAGAAGAGGTGCGGCAGCTCCAAGATGGTGCCCAGGCAGGTTCCAGCGGCGTTTCTGCCACAGGATAGAAGTGCCAGGATAGAAGCACGTTTGTTTCTACGCGAGAACTCTGCTGTGGGGTTCAGCTGTTTTGCCTCAGTGGACGCAGTTTTTGGTGCCCAGTCTTTGTGCCATTGTTTTCACACAAGAAGGAGCAAGAAGTGGCGAAGTTGAGGGAGCAGATGATGCACCTCGCATCTCATTGCTCTGAGTTGGCAAAGGCCAGAGGGGATGCCTCTCGCTTGGCCGAAGGCTTGAAAGAAGTTCAGGAAGCTCTTGCTGAGTCAGAAAGGAGTGCAGACCAGCAGGCGCAGCAGTTCCGGCTGCAGGAACAGCACTGGCAGAACAAGGTTGCGTGAGTGGAATTTGCTTTTGGGTGACATTGGAATGCACGCAGCCGGAGCCAACAGTAGTTGGTACATATTAGTGCTGGTTGTATCCTCAAATCTACCCAGTCCTACTGGTGCTGATTCATGGTGATTCAATGCTCAGTAGCGTCAGTGTCCGCCAACCGCACCGTCAATTGCTGGGGTTGCAATTTGTGTTGACCATGCTGCTCGCAGGACAAGCCGGAAGTGACGAAGTTGAGGGAGCAGATGATGCACTTGACTTCCGACTTGGCCAAGGCCACAGGAGATGCTTCCCGCCTAGCTGAGGAGCTGAAGGAAGCGCAGCAGGCTCTTGCAGAGTCGGAAAGGAGTGCAGACCAGCAGGCGCAGCAGTTCCTGCAGAAGGAATGGTGCTGGAAGAATGAGACTGCGAAATTAGAGGAAGCAGAAAGCTTTGCAGAAGCAGCTGCACAAGAGAAGGCAAGGCCGAGGAAATCACTAATTCATGGATTGTTTTGTGCAGTCTGGCTATTTTCCTTTGGGTGATCCCTGGCTACCATTCCAACCACTGCCTCGTTCTATTCTTGTTTGTTGCTTGCAACGCATCACATAGGGCTTATGCTTTTTCGTTTCAAGCAAGGACATATACTTTCATACGTTGGCACAGGCAGATTCGAGCCCCTAAGAACAGGAATTTCCACCATGAGAAGGAGCACAAGACATTCTTCAACTGTTGATTGAAGGACGTGTTGCGCATGGAGCTTGCAGAGAAAGTAAGACAGCTACAAGAACGTGCTCAGGCAGGTTTCAAGTTTTTTGTAGCCACAGGATACAGTTTCATTTGCGCATCAGTTTTCCCCAGGAGGAGCAGGAAGTGGCGAAGTTGAGGGAGCAGATGATGCACCTCGCGTCCCATTGTTCTGACTTGGCAGGGAATGCCTCTCGCTCGGCCGCAGACTTGAAGGAAGCGCAGGAAGCTCTTGCTGAGTCAGAAAGGAGCGCAGACCAGCAGGCGCAGCAGTTTCTGCAGAAGGAATGGTGCTGGAAGAACGAGACTGCGAAATTAGAGAAAGCAGAAGAGTTTGCAGAAGCAGCTGCACAAGAGAAGGCAAGGCTGCGGAAGACACTATATCCTCTAATGCAGTCTGGCCATGCCTAAAACATGTTTTTGGTGAAGGTTCTGATCCCACTGTTGATAACCCACCATTTGATTCACAACCATGTTCAAGATGTTCAAGCATACTGGCTGATTCCATTCCCAAACCGCAGAGACTTTTCAACTGTTGCTTGAAGGTCGTGTTGCGCACAGAGCTGGCAGAAAAAGTGAGGCAGCTACAAGAAGCTCAGGCAGTCGATATAGACACGAAAAGATGCCTGGATAGAGATTGTTTGCAGGTTTCGGTTCGCAAGAGCGGGCTCCCCTGTTCTGTATTTGTTGTAGACATTGTGTCATTTCGAGAGCTTTCTACCCATATTCTATTGCCTTGTGAACCGGCCGGGTATGGTTCGTTCGCAGGGCAAGCGGGAAGTGACAAAGTTGCGGGAGCAGATGACGCACTTGACTTCCGATGCTCCCCACATGGCTGAGCTTGCAGAAGCAGCTGCGCAAGAGAAGGCAAATTGGCAAACGACACTGTCTGCATGTGCAGGTGAATGATGACCCCCCACATGGTGTTGTGCCCAAGGGTCGTGACGATACATGATGATACATTGTTTGCGGGTGGTGGGAGAAATACTTAGGAATCCTTCGTACATTGCTCCATTCTGCCGTCGATAGTGAGTCATTCAGGATATATGTTCCACGACGTCGGGTCGATCTTTGTCGACCATTCCAACCCGACCATTTTTCAGTGATCTCATCAAATCAAGTCCTCTCAACCCTGGTGATTATGAACAACTGCGCTGTTTGCTGCTGTTTGTTGTCTGCAACTCATCATCGTCTCTTCTCTTTTACGCAAGCAAGAATATTTTGTAATTTCTTGGAGTGACTACACGTTGAGCCGACTGCTCCCTTCCCCAACGTATGGTAGGGACCACCTGACACTTTCCAACTTGTTTGCTTGAAGGCCGTGTTGCGCACAGAGCTGGCAGAAAAAGTGAGGCAGCTACAAGAAGCTCAGGCAGGCGATATAGACACGAAAAGATGCCTGGATAGAGATTGTTTGCAGGTTTCGGTTCGCAAGAGCGGGCTCCCCTGTTCTGGTTTCTTTGTAGAAGTGGTGAGTCAGAAAGGAGTGCAGACCACCAGGCGCAGCAGTTCCTGCAGAAGGAATGGTGCTGGAAGAACGAGACTGCGAAATTAGAGGAAGCAGAAAGCTTTGCAGAAGCAGCTGCGCAAGAAAAGGCAAAGCTGGGGAAGACACTGTGATGATACAGGAAACATTGTTTGTGCGTGATGAGGAAAAGTACTAGTACACAACATTACCTGCTTTTACTGACTGTGGAGGACCCACCATTTCATTCACTCTATGTTCAAGCAAGTCCAGGAAACTCCCTTGGGACCCTTCAAACCACACAGCCCATTTCCACAATGCCTCCTCGGATCAAATCCAACAAATTTGTGATGAGCAGCTTCGCTATCCGTTACCTGTCGCGTATCGTGCAGGGCATTGTTTTCTTCCCGTTTCCAGCGAGCAAGTGAACAAACATGTATAGTGAATAATGTGAATACCAGTTCAGCCTGCCCATTCCTCAACCTATAATTATAACAGGATGATTTTCACGAAACTAGGGAGTTCCGGACACACAGTGTTGCTTGAAGGCCATGTTGCGCACAGAGCTTGCAGAAAAGGAGGAACGTCTACAAAAAGCAGCTCAGGCAATCTTTAGCCATATTCAACCTTTCAATTTGCATGAGAGTTCCACTTATCTTATTTTTGCTTGTTGGCATGTTTGTAGGGCGCAGAAGTTGAGGGATCCAGATCATTTTTGCGATTTTGCAGAGCCGACAGAAGATGCTTGCTGCCCGGCTGAGGAGTTGCCGGAAGCACAACAGGTTTTTGCTCAATCTGAGGCAGCACAAAGGCTTGCGGAAGCAGCTGCGAAAGAGAAGGCAAGGCTGTGAAAGAAACTGGAGTGTGTGTGCAGTCTGAATATCCTCATATCATGTGAATACTCAAGCTTTCTTTGCAGTCTGAGGATAACAGCTGTGGCAAAAGTACCTCATGTGGTTTGGGAACGGCGCTCTAGCTTGGGCTCATTCTTAGTGAGGGTAGGCCAGTAGCCGGAATGTTTGTTGTGCCACCTTGTAAGAAACCTTGATGTTTTGACCCGCAAGCACCAACTATTTAACAGTTTGTAGATGGCACAACCCCTTGCAGAGGTTTCAACAACCTTACTCGGCTGGTGGGTCAAGCTGTTCATCCAACAATGCCATAAGATGGCATGTGACTAATCGATATTAATTGGATCTAAGAATTGATATATATTGTCTGAATTTGAACTTTCAACCTGTTGAAAAAAAACTACTCCCTAAAAGATGTGAGTGTGCGATGCTACTCAGCAAACTAAACTATACGCTTACATCTGCCGTTTCGATCTTCGACATGTTCACGCATTGAAGTAGCCTGGTTCGGACTCACCTCAAAAATTTGAGTGTTCGGCCATGCCTGCAACAAACCTTGAAATGAATTTCCCTAGTGATATGGATTGAAAGCAGGCGTGTGCATTTTCTGTTTCGAGGTGTCCGTCATTCATTCAAAACCTAGCATTGGCCGCCCGCCCATGGCCAGGATGAAAAACAATGAGTGACCAAATATAGAAAGATGTTGAAGACAAATTTCACAATCAAACACCCTTCAAGCGTTCCTTGAAGGCCGTGTTGCGCACAGCACTCGAAGAAAAGGAGAAACGGCTACAAAAAGCAGCTCAGGCAGGCTTCAGCCATATTCAACCTCTCAATTCGCATGAGAGTTTTCCACTTATCTTATGTTTGCTTGTTGGCATGCTTGTAGCGCACTGAAGTTGAGGGATCACGTACGACAGATAATTTTTGCGATTTTGCAGAGCTGACAGAAGATGCTTCCTGCCCGGCTCAGGAGTTGACGGAAGCACAACAGTCCGAGAAGCGTGCAGAGCAAGAGAAGGCAAAGCTGTGAAAGAAACTGGAGTGCGTGCAGTCTGAACATCCTCATATTATGTGCATACTTAATGTGCATACTTAAGTCAAGTTTTCTGTGCAGTCTGGGGAGAACAGTGCTGTGTCAAATGTACCTCATGCGGTCTGGGAACGGCGCTCTAGCTTGGGCTCATCCTTAGTGAGGGTTAGGCCTCTAGCCGGAATTTTTGCTGTGCCACCTTGTAAGAAGCTTTGATGTTTTGACCCACAAACACCAAGTATTTAACAGTTTGTAGATAGCACAACCCCATGTGAGGTTTCAACACCCTTACCCGGCTGGTGGGTCAAGCTTTTCATCCAAACATGCCATGAGATGGAATTCGGTTAATCGATGTTACTGTATACAACTGGATCTAAGAAAGGATATATATATATTTATAGTCTGAATTCGAGCTTTCAACCCGTTGAAACCTAGTCCCTTATGACAAGCATCACAACAGATGTGGGTGTGCGATGTTTCCCAACAAACTAAACTATATGCATACACCTGCCGTTTCGTTCTTCAACATTTTCACGCATTGGAGTACCTTAGTTCGGAATCACCTCAAACATTTGAGTGTTCGACCATCCCTCCAACAAACCCGGAAATGAATTTCCCTAGTGTTTGGATTGAGAGCGAGCGTGTGCATTTTCTGTTTTGAGGTGTCCGTCTATCATTCCAAACCTCTCGGACAACCATTTGATTGAGCACGACCACGTTCCGGTACAAATAACAGACCTAGCGTCTTCTAAATGCAAGGACAGTAAGGACCACCCTCAAGACATGTTTGTTGCTTGCAAGGCCACCCATGGCCAGGAGGAAAAACAAAGAGTGACCAAATAGAAAGATGTTAAAAGAAGACTGATTTCACAACCCAAACACCCTTCAAGCGTTCCTTGAAGGCCGTGCTGCGCACAGCACTCGAAGAAAAGGAGAAACGCCTACAAAAAGCAGCTCAGGCAGGCTTCAGCCATATTCAACCTTTCAATTCGCATGAGAGTTCTCCACTTATCTTATGTTTGTCTGGCTGGCATGCTTCTAGAGCACAGAAGTTGAGGGATCACGTACGATAGATCATTTTTGCGTTTTTGCCAAGTCCACAGAAGATGCTTCCTGCCCAGCTAAGGAGTTGACGGAAGCACAACAGTCCGAGAAGCGTGCAGAGCAAGAGATGGCAAAGTTGGAGGAAGCACAAAGGCTTGCGGAAGCAGCTGCACAAGAGAAGGCAAAGCTGTGAAAGAAACTGGAGTGCGCGCCGTCTCAATATCCTCATACCATGTGCATACTTATGCATACTTAAGTCAAGTTTTCTGTGCAGTCTGGGGAGAACAGTGCTGTGGCAAATGTACCTCATGTGGTTTGCGCTCATGCTTAGTGAGGGTAGGCCTCTAGCCGGAATGTTCTCTGTGCCACCTTGTAAGAAACCTTGATGTTTTGACCCACAAACACCAACTGTTGAACAGTTTGTAGATGGCACAACCCCACAACAACCTTACCCGGCTGGTGGGTCAAGCTTTTCATCCAACTATGCCATGAGATGGAATGTGGTTTTCACGGTTAGTCGATGTTAATTGGATCTAAGAAAGGATGCTGTCTGAATTTGAGCTCTTAACCCGTTGAAGCCTAGTCCCTAAGGCCCTAAGGACAAGCGTCGCAAACGATGTGGGTGTGCGATGCTTCCCAACAAACTAAACTATATGCTTGCACCTGCCGTTTCGTTCTTCAACATGTTCACGCATTGGAATACCTTAGTTCGGAATCACCTCAAACATTTGAGTGTTCGACCATCCCTCCAACAAACCTGGAAATGAACCCCCCTAGTGTTTGGATTGAGAGCGAGCGTGTGCATTTTCTGTTTTGAGGTGTCCGTCTATCATTCCAAACCTCTCGGACAACCATTTGATTGAGCACGACCACGTTCCGGTACAAATAAAAAACCTAGCGTCTTCTAAATGCAAGGACAGTAAGGACCACCCTCAAGACATGTTTGTTCCTTGCAAGGCCATCCATGGCCAGGAGGAAAAACAATGAGTGACCAAATAGAAAGATGTTAAAAAGAAGACTGGTTTCACAACCCAAACACCCTTCAAGCGTTCCTTGAAGGCCGTGCTGCGAACAGCACTCGAAGAAAAGGAGAAACGCCTACAAAAAGCAGCTCAGGCAGGCTTCAGCCATATTCAACCTTTCAATTCGCATGAGAGTTCTCCACTTATCTTATGTTTGTCTGGCTGGCATGCTTGTAGAGCACAGAAGTTGAGGGATCACGTACGACAGATCAGTTTTGCGATTTTGCCGAGCCTACAGAAGATGCCTCCTGCCCGGCTGAGGAGTTGACGGAAGCTCAACAGTCCGGGAAGCGTGCAGAGCAAGAGATGGCAAAGTTGGAGGAAGCACAAAGGCTTGCGGAAGCAGCTGCGCAAGAGAAGGCAAAGCTGTGAAAGAAACTGGAGTGCGCGCCGTCTCAATATCCTCATACCATGTGCATACTTATGCATACTTAAGTCAAGTTTTCTGTGCAGTCTGGGGAGAACAGTGCTGTGGCAAATGTACCTCATGTGGTTTGCGCTCATGCTTAGTGAGGGTAGGCCTCTAGCCGGAATGCTCGCTGTGCCACCTTGTAAGAAACCTCGATGTTTTGACCCACAAACAACTGCTGAACAGTTTGTAGATGGCACAACCCCACAACAACCTTAGCGGCTGGTGGGTCAAGCTTTTCATCCAACTATGCCATGAGATGGCATGTGGTTTTCACGGTTAGTCGATGTTAATTGGATCTAAGAAAGGATGCTGTCTGAATTTGAGCCTTGAACCCGTTGAAGCCTAGTCCCTAAGGCCCTAAGGACAAGCGTCGCAAACGATGTGGGTGTGCGATGCTTCCCAACAAACTAAACTATATGCCGTTTCGATCTTCAACATTTTCACGCATTGGAGTACCTTAGTTCCGAATCACCTCAAACAATTGAGTGTTCGACCATCCCTCCAACAAACCTGGAAATGAATTTCCCTAGTGTTTGGATTGAGAGCGAGCGTGTGCATTTTCTGTTTTGAGGTGTCCGTCTATCATTCCAAACCTCTCGGACAACCATTTGATTGAGCACGACCACGTTCCGGTACAAATAACAGACCTAGCGTCTTCTAAATGCAAGGACAGTAAGGACCACCCTCAAGACATTTGTGTTCCTTGCAAGGCCACCCATGGCCAGGAGGAAAAACAATGAGTGACCAAATAGAAAGATGTTAAAAGAAGACTGATTTCACAACCCAAACACCCTTCAAGCGTTCCTTGAAGGCCGTGCTGCGAACAGCACTCGAAGAAAAGGAGAAACGCCTACAAAAAGCAGCTCAGGCAGGCTTCAGCCATATTCAACCTTTCAATTCGCATGAGAGTTCTCCACTTATCTTATGTTTGTCTGGCTGGCATGCTTGTAGAGCACAGAAGTTGAGGGATCACGTACGACAGATCATGTTTGCGATTTTGCCGAGCCTACAGAAGATGCTTCCTGCCCAGCTAAGGAGTTGACGGAAGCACAACAGTCCGAGAAGCGTGCAGAGGAAGAGATGGCAAAGTTGGAGGAAGCACAAAGGCTTGCGGAAGCAGCTGCGCAAGAGAAGGCAAAGCTGTGAAAGAAACTGGAGTGCGCGCCGTCTCAATATCCTCATACCATGTGCATACTTAAGCTTTCTTTGCAGTCTGAGGAGAGCAGCTGTGGCATGCATGTCATGTGGGTTGGGGACGGCGCTCTAACTTGGGCTCATGGTAGGCCTCTAGCTGAATCACCAGCGACCGGATTGTCTCCTGCTCCACATTTCCAAAATCCATAAAGGTCCTTGAGCGAGCAAAGGGGGATTTGGATTCCTGCTTCCCCTCGTTCCTAGTCCCGTTCCTCTACGTTGTTTGTCCATATTTGTTCTTGGGTCCTTGTTTTGTCCTGTATTCAGGTTCGCATCTTCTATTCTGTCAGGCCTTTTTGATAGTGGATGACTTTGTGACTGTGTATTGTTTCTCATCGAATGTTTGCCTCCACCAGGCAAGGTACTTGTATGGCCTGAGGGCCTCACGCTGTGGTCTGTGATTGAAAGCTGAGCTCCTCGTTCCTCGGCAGTCTGGGCATTTGGGCTGGTGGCTGGCTTATCTCAGTGGTTGAGCTTCATCACTTCCCGTCCTTGGTGTGCAATTGTCGTGCCGCGCATTGCTTCGGGCTTCTTTTTGGCGATTCCTTTCTATAGGCGAACAGCCCATGATCTTATTCAATCAAATCCACCCAGTGGCTGTGAGCCACCGCGTGTCCACATTGTCGGCTGCTTGCATAACATCAAAGAGGGTGTCGATGTATTGTTTAGAACAACCATTTCTCGCAGTCAAGTCATTTGATCTTTCTCATATCGTTTACAACTTCAGCCGCAGCCTATAACGATTCCAGCTCCAACAGAGATGAAAACAATCTGGAACCAAACGTTGCTGGAAGGCACTGTTGAGCACAGAGCTGGCAGACAAGGTGAAACAACTAGAAGAAGCAGCGCAGGCAGGTTTCAGCCATGTTTAACCTTTGGACACAGGAAGTTCGTCGCTTAAAATGTTGCGAGGCGCTGTTGAACCGCTGTTGGGTTACTTGTATAGTAGATACTTATATAAATCAGCCTTATCTTTGCATGGCCACACCGATCGCCGAACGCTAGCGATTTTGGTTGCACCCATCAACGCATTATCAGCCTGTGTCCATGGAACATGTCAAATTTCATCGAATTATGAATACGATCAGAATGAAATATATTGTATAAAATGTTAATGAGCTGGCAATGGCTACTCATGTTAGAGTGTGGATTGGCCAAAAAGGACTCGTGCGCTGCTATGCAAACAGAAACTTTCGATATCTTGAATTTTGACTAGCAACACTTGCTTATGTATAGTTGGCAAAAGGAGCTGTGTAAAGACCACAAACGTGAGTACCACATGTTGTTCTTTCCATGTATTATTTAATTTGCCAACCAGGATTGTCGAGGGACCATTCTATTGTAAGTTTACTGGCATGGTGGTTTCACATGATGTTGACCTTAACAGCTATACTATACGCGCTTGCCAGCTGTTTGCCTAGAAGAGTTCCACTGAATTTAATTTCATTAAGTAAGTTCGATACATATAATTCTATGACGGAAAGACCTGCATTTGAAATTGTCGGCTTTCAGGCCTGCAAAAAACACACACCGACATCTATCTTCGGCCACAACTAACCCGCCAACTACTTACAGACGTCTGGACAACCCTACATTTCAGACTAGCCATAGATCGGCTTCACCTTATACGGGCTTCACTACCACATCACATCTAACCCAATGTTTCAACCTTGTTTACTCGACATAACTTTTTGCCCGGTCTATGCCGGCAAGCCATTCACAACCTGCATGGGGGTCGTCGTGCATCTGGGGAGTAATGCTTCCACAGCGAATCCCAGTGGTGCATGGCAGCCGAACCAAGAGAGCAAGAGCGCACACGTCCCTCAAGCAATAGTAGCATCTCACAAATCGGAAGCTAAAGAACACCTCCCGCAAGCTGGAAAAAGGGCATGTTGAAGGTGCAGACGACAAACCTTTGAGTCGTCGCATTTGGTGACGATGATATAAAGGTATGCGAGTCGAACGCAGTTTGGTATTTCGTTCATGCATTTCTGTCTCTGCGTCAGCGCCGCCTTCACACCTTGCAGGCACTCCATACATGACACGTACAAGCCGCACCGGTAGTTGCAGATTGAACCGAACAATTCCAACAAACGTTGTTGGATTTGAATAAACAAATTAGGAAGCCTGACTTGAGACATCTTGAGACTAAGATTTCGTGCAAGTGAAGGTGCACATTGCTTTGTTTCAATGCCGTCGCTTCACACATTATACTGCCACGCAAAAGAAGAGCAGGGCCAAGAGGTAGAGTCTCGGGTCTTGCAACTCAGGGGTCGTCCACCATTTTCGGCGCTGACCAAACTCACTTACCTGGATAGAAGGTGGTTTGAGAATGTAGAACAGAGCTGGTCCCAGACCTCGATTTGCAGGAAAGGGCTCCAAGTGAGAAGGCAAAGGAAGGCTCTGACAGCTCAACTGCAGATATGGAGCGTGGCCCGTGGGACTCTCCACGAACGCTGGACTCATGCACGAGTGAGGGATCGCCGAAGGAGGTTCTGACCTTAGCAAGGTGTTTCAGGAAATGTTGATGTTGTTTTTGTTGCCCAACCCTGACAAAGGCTTTGGACAAGGCACCACATGTGCTGCTTCTGTTGGTAGCATTCTTTGTGAGCTCTAGATTCATCAGTTTGGTTTTCTTTGATTTGAAGTAAAATACCCTTGCACTTCCGTCATGTGTGCATAGCAGCTGAGCTTTGCCAAGGTTGGGCCAGGCGGCTCTTTTCACAGCGCCGGTGGGAAACAGCCCGCTGCTCCTGCTGCTTCGGATGGGTTGACGCCATCTTCAACCAAGCAGGTCAATGACGTTTCTGATTTGGCAGTTTGGCAGCATTCTGAAGCCAAGTCACAATAACAACCATTTGCCTTCCGGATCTCAGATTCTCACCATCTGTGGATCGAAAGGTTCGGCTCACAATTCAATGTTTGTTAGTTGCTACATGAGTTGCGTGTGAAAGTGATCGCAGCTGGACTGTTTCGTAACAAATTTTTATCTAGGCTGTTCAGCACTGCCTTGTCTCGCATTCTTAGCAAAGCCTTATTTTGTTGTGAGTTGACCATTTAGGCGCATGATGTTTCCGAGGATCGAACATGCTGAGCCGACCTTTGTTGGTGAGCTGTTCATTGTATGGTCATTTTTCGGGTTGATTTTGTCACCGAGAGACATTGTGAAGGCATCTTTGTCAACATTGTCCACCTCGCCGCCTGCCATGAACAAGGATCTGCACCAGGTGGCTCAGACTCCAATTTGCTTTCGAGCCAGCGCGAAAGAATTCTGAATGTTTTTGCGCCGGCTGTCTTCTCATAAAGACTATAGACTATACATAATAACTTCCCTGGTTGGATACTGCATGCCGATGTCAATTGTTTGACATCAGAAAGCTTAACAAGCTTTGAATATTCAAGATCAGCTCAAGGGTTTGGTGCCAAAATGAATAGCAATATTTGTTCCCCTGTCTTGCAGGTATCGCTTGGTCAAGATGGTGGTGAAGCCCGAGTCGTCGTGTCTTGCCCGGAGGCGCACTATGACAAGGTCCAAAAGATTTGCATGGAGCTGGACATTGTTCAGGCTTTTGGCAGAAAGGGTGACTATGTTGATGACCTAGATGGTGATGAATGGTTTGGCAAGTGGCAATCTCGAGTTGTGGCTTCTGCTACTACCGCCCTACAGACAAGGAAATGCAAAAATGCCGAGCTCTTTTGCATCGCAGGTGGCAAGCATTGCCACAAAGAGGTTGGGAATCAACCCATGCTGATTGAAGCTATCGAAAAGGCTATGAAGGAATCGAAGTTACCAGCCGTGAAAATCAGGTTTTCATGGATGAAGGTGGAGCAGTTCGAAGAGCACATCCGACGTTTGGTCGCGGCTGTGTTTTTTGTTTCGTTATTGTTTGAAAGTTGTTTCACAAACATAGCACATCAATGTTGAGAACTGTTACCCGGCTTTTCACAACAATGTTTTGAAGCCCAGGAAAGTTGGCGGAAGAGGCCGGAAAAAGTGATGGAAGGGAGCGAACAAGGGGTGTCCTGTGTCCCTGTGAAAACATGGTTAAATAGCAGCTGTGGCAGAGCCTGGCAGAGCTCCAAGTGTGGACTAGCCGCACCCTTCCTTACCCTGGCATTGCTCCTAAGCACCGTGTGTCAATGTATGAGTTGTTATAGACAGCAAAACACGCAAGTCCATCGGCCATCCCATTAGTAACTTAACTTGGATTTTTGTTTCATTGACGTGCGCAACTGCTTGCAGGCTTTCCATACTTAGGAGCGCCAAACTATCCATCCATGCAGACGTAGCTGGATGTGTACAGTAGCATCGCCATATGTTTGCACTGTCACTGCATATCATGTTTGCGTATGTTTGCACTGACTGCGCAGGAGATCCAAAAGGATGCAAAGCTTCGAAAGAGAAAGCTGCTCGATCTTCTTGAGGAAGACCCTCAGGCCGCCGAGCTGTTTGCAAAGCTCACCGACTATGTGGAACTTGATGAGAAGTCCAAGCGCTTGGTGATCATAGGCGACACAGGAGCTGGGAAAAGCACTTTCTGCGGTTTGTTGGATGGCTCTCTGCAGAAGTTGAAGAAGGGCGTTGACGACAAGGGCATGCCATTGTGGGAGTGGGAGTCCAACTTTAAGCTTGGCCACAAAGCCAGCTCAGAGACCGACCAGCCCCAGTTGCGCAAGTGCTATGCCTTTGGCCAAGACGGAGAGGACCCCGTCCCACTCCTTCTCATGGACACACCTGGTTTGGAAGATAGCAGAGGCAAGAAGAAAGACGACGATCACATGGCCGAGGTGGCCAAGTGGGTCAATGGCCTTCGGTACATTCATGGAATTGTGATTCTCCTCAAGAACGATACTCGTATCTCGCGCGGCCTTCGGAACAACCTCGAATTCTTCCAATCGATTTTTGGGACTGACATGTGGGTCCACGCCACCGTGGTTGTGAACAGGTGGCCCCAGGATTCAAGATCAAGGAAGAAGCGTGCAGAAGGAGGTCTTCAGTCAACTGCACAATTTGAAGAAGAGTTTCGTGGTGTCCTCCAGAAACCGCGTCCCAAAGATGCCACAGGCGATGATTGTGGAGTTGGCTTGGCGGAAGACAAAGCCCGGAGGCTTCCTTTCTACTTTGTGGACACTTTGTATGACAGAGGCGAAGAGGACGAAAAAAGCAGTATGCGCAACGAACTCGACAACATAAGAAGGTGGGCGCTAAGTCTTCAAGAATGGTTTGTCCAAGCTACGACGCAATCTCCTGAGCTGAAGAACCTGATCCATGTGGTGGAGTCAACAAACCAAGCTGCAGATCTGGAGACTGCTTTGGAGAAAGCATTGGGCGTTGATCCCAGGCCGGCAGATGTGACACGAAAGAAGGTGGAAGCTGTAAGGAAAGAGATAGAAGTGAGATCAACGGCAGACAGGGTAGATGAGGCAGAAAAGGCGCTTCACAAGTTCGAGGAAACAGGCAACAGGGAGGACGCCCAAACATTTGTCCAGAAATTCGGTGCGCTGAATTCCAAGCAAGCTGCCGCAGTATCATCAACCAAGATGTCTCGGTTGAATCCTGCCTTCGAAGTCTTGGAAAAAGCCTTGGAAGGAAAGAAATCAGAGACAGAGACAGCCACTCTTGAAGTGTCGCCGCAATTTCATCAACACGCGCAAAGACTCATTAAGGATGGGAAGGGCTGGCTGGAACTGGAACTGGAAGACGTGTTTCTTGTTGGAGCAGGTGTGAAGAGCTCACGTAACAGTTTATAATAAAGATTGAAGATGAAACTTAGGCAGGACAAGTCTTTTTTCTTTGGCATCCTTGCTCCAGGAGAGAAACGAAGCCTTGACGCAACTGGATGAAGCGGTCAGAGAAAGCTCGACGGAGAAGGTTGTTCGTGCACTCGCCAAGTGTGACTCTCTAAGATTGACGGATCCAAGCATCCCAAAAGCAAAGACCTGGTTGGAGGCCCTGGACAGCGTTTGATTTGCTGTGAAACCGCCATTGGCAAAAAACATTGCATTTGACCAGTCCTGTACCGAACACGGGAAAGATGCGTCGTGCTTTTGGAGTCCTGCCAGGAAACGCAGAGTGCATTGGGACAGCTTGAGAACGCTCACAAGCAAAAGTCTATGGAAGCCGTAAAACAAGCCCTTGCCCTTTGCGAATCTCTTAATCTGCCAGCGGACAAATTGCAGATTGCGAGGACCTGGCTAAAGGCTCTGCCTTGGGTGTCATTTGGAAGAACCATGTCTTGATTTGCCATCTCAGAAATCATCAAGTTTGTCCCTTCAAGATCACTTGAACTTTCTCGGATGCTGCAGGCTGAAGCGAAGCAGGCCTACCCGTGTGCAAAAGCAGCTGCGTTTGTCGAGACAAGAGCCATTTGTGTTAATATGTTCTTTGCATTTCTTTGCTGTGTTTGCTGGCCGGAAAAGGATGAAGGCACGCGCAACTAAATTGACTGAAAACATCAACAAATCAGGGATGGTGTGAAGACACAGGGGGGTTACATTTTTGCACGCACAAGATTGATGTACAATACTGCAGGCGCCTTGAGCCACAACCAGAAAGAACAATAACCTATACAAGTGCGTGTACAAGCAGCGTTGACTAGAGAGAGAGAGAGACGAGAGAGAGGGCAAAAGAGAGGGGACTTCAAAAACGTAGCATGCCCTCACGCAGACCTCGAAGTGCTCCAGCTTGTTCATTGTAGCACACAGTAGCGCCCAGCAAAGATATGTTTCCCACTCTGCAAATCGATTGGCAGCCTGTACAGGTTCTTGACACAGCTGTAGAACAAGCAGAGTCCATCAAGAAGGTCCGAGAAGCGCTACTTTTTTGCGAATCAGTTGGTGTCCCGCCGGATGACCTGCGAAAGGCGCACCATTGGTTGGAGGCGCAATGCGCGTAAAGTGTTTGCATAGCTTTTGTTTAGAATACACATTCACATTCTTTTGTCGTGCCACAGGATGAGCAGAAGGTTCAGAGGCTTATCGAGGAGTTCGATGAAAAATATGGCCTCGGGCTGTCGAAGGAATTTGATTCTTTCACAAAAGCAGTGAAGTTGTGGGTCAGAGAGCATGGAGTCACAGGGACGCTTGGGCACATGGAGACACGCTTTGAGCGGTTGAAACAAATAGTGAATGAGTTTCCAAAGATGACAGAGGTTTCCAAAATCAAGGTGTGCACGCTGATCAAATCAACCAAGTTGAACCCGCAGAGCACCCGCAAGGAATGGCAGGATGTGCTAGATCCGGCAAGAGAACATGGCATGAATGGATTGCAGTTGCAAAAACTGCAGACAGATTATGATAACCGTTTGTTCTTTCATGGTGACATTGTCACCATGGAAACCAACAGATGGGATGATCACTACGTCTATGTCAGTGACGATCACAACTATGTTTTTGCAAGAAAGAGATCCACTCTGGAAGGGTATGAGCTAACGAAAGCCTCATGGCGGCTGCATATCGACGGTGACCTTCATAAATTCGAGAGCATGAAATGCAGTGGCCGTTACTTGTGCGCAATGGACCACGAAACAAACAAGCTTTGGGTGGGGATCAGCAAAGGCAGCATTGAGGAAGACCGGTGTCGTTGGAAGCTGGAACCAGATGGCTCATACTACGGCTTGTGGAACGAGAGGGGAGACTTCACTCATGCGCTCACGTTCCACAACCATGAACCAGGTTTTGGGCGGCCATATTGCGCGAGGATACCCCGCATTGGAGGATGGGAGAAAGTCTACATCCGAAGAGTTTGAAGACTCTGATTACTTCTGAAGAAGATATGTTAATTCAGAAACGACGGTGAATCGACGTCGCTTGCGGCTTGGCGAAATCTTTTGGGATTTTAGCCCGGTGGCTTGCCCTTTTCATGTTTTGTTGTTGCCAAAGGCATTTGCTATAATATGTACACAGTCTCCTTGACTGAAGACAGCGCAGGGCCAAGAGCCAAGAATCTTATGCTCGGACTTCCCTGTATCATGACAATGCCACAGTTTTATGACTGGTGCTTCTGAGCTCAGCATGCTGCCTTGTTTGACGGGAATGCAGAAGAAATCCAAAGATGTCCAGAGGATACAAAAGTTCAAGAAAACCAGGTGTGCCTGTCCTATTTGCTGAAATGTTTTTTTTCCCAAGATGCTTTGCCTTTAGCCTTCCAAAGTCAGGCTGAGACCAATCATTTTGAGCAAGGGGGTTGCCATTGTGGATTCACATGCCCTTTGCGTGTGAGAGATTTGTATCATCAGTGGATCGAGCGCATGCAGGGCAACAAAGCAAGAAGTAGAATAGCTGATTCGGACTGGCTGACAACAATTTTCCTCAGGCTGGTGAAAGCTATATTGGAAACATGACAGCTTGCAAATTTTGTGGTGGTGTGCTCTTGTTTCAATTGGGTTTGAAACAGTTTGTTTCCTCCATAGAAGCCAAAGGGCTTGAGACCAGCAGCACGTTTCTCTAATGGGAAGTGCCTTGGCAGCAAGTTGATCATAGGTCTCGCCAATTTCCTTTCTCTTGTCACGTAACATTGCATTGCTACTCTCTGACCGTTTTCTGCTATTCATGGCTATGAACCAGCAGGATTCAAGAGATTGACCTCAGAAAGTTTGCTGATGTTGGCCCGGATAGAGGACTCCACATGCCTCGACTGCTTTTGCCAATCTTATGATGGGGCTTCAAAGGAGTTGCCTCCGCCCAACACACAAGAATTCTGTTCACTTTTGATACTATACATCAGCTTCAGGATGTCCTGGCGTTGGATAGATAATTGGCGTTCAATTCTCAGAACCGTTTTCTTTCCTCGACGTGAAGCAAAATACTGTACATCGCTGTGGGCCTGATTGCTCGATGCACTATTCCGACTATTCCCACTTGTAGGGGTGTCCAATCCTAGCGGTTGAAATCCACTAGGAGTTTCTTGGAATCCTTGGAATGAAGTTTGCCATTGTTTTGTGCACCATACGAACATTGTATAGTACATATCCGACACGTGTAGGACATAGACGCCCGTCCAAGGAAAAATCAAGTTGGGCGAAAAAGCTGGGTTTGATCATGTTTTGCTGCAGGCTTCTCAGCTGTTTGGCAGAGCAGGCAGCTTGGCAACTGCATGTTGTGAGGATCACATGCATGTCAAGTTGTGAAGCAAACAACGCAAATCACTACTAGTAGTCGTTAGGACGGCTATATCTTTTTTCATGGGTCTACACTTCGTCGCCCCTAAGGCGCTCCGAACATGTTCGGGCAACATCGTTTGCTGCTATGGTAAACATGCGTGGTTCCTTGCAGGTCTTGAATGTGACACTCATTTCACCCCAAGGGACACTCAACAGTCT